AACCTTCATGAGCCCTGACATTTTTGGAAGCAAGTTCTTCAGGGGTAACGTGGTCAAGAAGCATGAAGAGAACCCTCTTCACTTCCTTATGGGTACAGAGTCTTTGTTTTCTGGATTTCTCTTAGTAGTATGCAGAGAATCATAAGAAAGTGAAATTGTCAGTGTTCTTATGGAAATAGTGACACCATATAGTTGGAATCTTCACAGAGTCAAAAATCACCTGATTTAAGGGTGTTGGTTCAATCATTTACAATATTCCCATCCTTACTGCATCATAAAACAAGAAAAGTTAGTGTTGCACACACTCAAAATTCAGGACAGTCATTGGGAGCATAAAGAAACATTCTTCGAAGGGTGTATCGCAAGATAAAGTTTCACTGCAGATTTACGGTTTATTTTTAAAACAGTGACGTGAAGATCTGCAAAGGTATTTGTTTTCTCAGAGTCTTTGTTTTCTGGATTTCTCTTAGTAGTATGCAGAGAATCATAAGAAAGTGAAATTGTCAGTGTTCTTATGGAAATAGTGACACCATATAGTTGGAATCTTCACAGAGTCAAAAATCACCTGATTTAAGGGTGTTGGTTCAATCATTTACAATATTCCCATCCTTACTGCATCATAAAACAAGAAAAGTTAGTGTTGCACACACTCAAAATTCAGGACAGTCATTGGGAGCATAAAGAAACATTCTTCGAAGGGTGTATCGCAAGATAAAGTTTCACTGCAGATTTACGGTTTATTTTTAAAACAGTGACGTGAAGATCTGCAAAGGTATTTGTTTTCTACTGTTTTAGCCTCATATCCTCTATAGAACCTTAGTTTTAACTAAAAGTCTCATTTTACAATTATATAACCTTGGAGAATAAAGACGATGATTAAATAGATTTGAAAAACAATTTTATACTTTGGGAAAATTTTTTAGGACCATTAGGATTTATTTACTTATTATTATTATGTTTTATTTTCATTATTATTATTATTATCATTAATTAATCGTCAAGTACAATTGTAAAACACAATGTTAAGTATACACCATGGTAGTATTTTAACTTAATTTTAGATTTAATTTCTTTTCTTTTACTTTCGATTTTGAGGTGAAGAATGGTCAAATAATACATCATCATGTTTTAGTATATGGGATACAGTGTGTTTGTAAATGTTGCACAGGTGTGTGGGGCAGTGCCTTCTCTATCCTGATCAACAGAATTCTGGGATTCAATGATGTGAACAATGGCAGTACAATGGAGGAAGAACTAGGTACGATCACCAGCTTAATTACAGATCTAAGAACAGTTTCACATTGCCCTTCTACTCTTTCTAATGAAAACACATCTGTTTTCATCTGCATGCCACACACATTTCCACAAATTTGTGTAGAATGTGAATGTCCTTAATTAAAAAAGTTATTTTCCCCTTGTGTGTTAAATGCATGTATACATATTAACAATATTCTTGTTGTGTCAGAGTAGCAATAGTGGAAGAATATGTTGCAGAATGATGGTGCCTTTAGTGTTTGCATGTGTGATGTAGGATGGCATGAAACTTTGTTGTTATCAGATAGCGACACCAATGTGTGGTTACTAATGAACTTGTGCTTAAATAAAGTAACAGTTGTGAAGCCCACATCACATGCAAACATCCTGGCACACACACTCATTCTGGGATGATCTGAGAGATTGTGATAATCTCAGGAAGACATCTGTTGGAGCTGGTTTGCACTGTGGCTTTGATGCTCATTTGCACATTTCTTCTACAGAACAGATCAAACCGGAACACATTGTAGGAGAGGACAGTCTAGATAATGATGAAGACCCACATAAAGGTGAGATTTTACAACATCTACACTGCACAGTAAGTAGCTTAGTGCAAACATTTCGATGCCACGGACCCCCAAAACGCCCTTGGAGGAACCTCTTTCCTAAATTATAAAGGCAGGTATATATTTGCATGTATAAAGACCAAATGTATGCCAAGAAAAAATAAAAAAAATTTAATTATGTGCAAAATATTATTTGGAAAATATTACAATAATAATGTCAAATTTATTTTAATTAAATACTTTTATTTATTTATTTCATTGTAAAAAAAAAATTTTTTTTTCTATGAGCACCCTATCAAAATATCAGTGCAAATCCTTAAATATAATGATTTTGGTTTTGTCTTATACCTGCAGAGGACGAGTATCAGGCGAGCTGGATGCAACGCATGGTTAGCTCTCTCCTCAGCGACTCAGCTCTTTTTAAAACACGAGAAGGCAGAGCAGGAAAAGTACACAACTTCATGCTGGGCTTAAACCTCAACAATGATGTGCCACTTTCCCAATTCAATGAGACCGTCAGTCCCATGGAGGATGAAATTGATGCGGTCACAGGTATGAGTTCATGTTTGTTATGGTCATTTTTAAGTTGACTGAATTGATCTCAAGCGTTGCCTTATTGTTCTTTTCTAATTTTGGATGCTTCCAGACCCATTTGAGTTTGACCGTATCTACGAGCCGTTAGACGTAAAGAGCAAGAAGATTCACATGGTGGACAGTGGCTTGACCTTTAACCTGCCTTATCCTCTGATTCTAAGGCCTCAGAGAGGTGTTGACCTCATCATCTCCTTTGACTTTTCTGCCCGGCCGAGTGACTCTAGTCTTCCATTTAAGGTTAGTACATGGGCTATCAATTCAACATGTTAATTTAGTGTGATCAATTATAATAAACAAAGAAAGATAAACGAAAAAAAATCTATCAATTTAGTAGTATAAAGAACCTTGCCACAGTAAATATATGTGATTTACTTTTATTGATTATTTAATCTGCATATGATGTAACAGACAATATGCATGACACACAGGTTTTGTAAATGATTGTTGCTTTGTAGGAACTTCTGCTAGCTGAGAAATGGGCACGAATGAACAAACTTCCATTTCCCAAGATCGACCCAAAGGTGTTTGATCGGGAGGGGATGAAGGAGTGTTATTTATTTAAGCCCAAACAAGGAGAAAAGAACTGCCCTACTATCATCCATTTTGTCCTGGTCAATATCGAATTCAGGACGTTCAAAGCCCCAGGTCTGTGTTCTTAGGGAATCTTTTATGAAAAAGTCAGCTTTGCATATAAAAATGTCATTAAAAGATCAGACATCTCAAATTAGTCAAGAAAACTAAGAAAAGAAAGAGATGTTTTAAAAGCGTGGTGTATTTTGAAGGTGTTCCACGTGAGACGGACAAAGAGAGAGAATTTGCAGACTTTGACATCTTTGATGACCCAGAGACGCCCTACTCAACCTTTAATTTTCAGTATTCCAATCAAGCCTTCACCCAGCTACAAGACCTTATGGAATTCAACACGCTTAATAACATAGAGGTCAGTTCAGCTCAGATACTGTACATGCCGATTTATACGTTTTCTATATTAAAGGTAGGGTAGGCGATTTCATAGAGACTAGCAATAGCAAGCTATCTTTGCAAGCATAAGATCCCACCCTCCCTACAAATCACTCTCTAAAGCCATGCCTCCTCCAAAACACATGAACGCTCACAGACAGACCAGAGGCTAAGCAGCGACACGATGAGAGACGCCGTTGGTGGAGGCTTGAATGCAACGCTGTCAGATTACCTCATATCTCATTCACCGGTGAGAAAACATTACAGTACAAAGTGCATAATATTACAATAATAACGCCTTCCATTCTCGCTCGGTCTGCAATAGCGTAATGTAATACATATCATGTCTGCCCGAGTATTGTGCACGGAGGTATGCAAATACATACATTAATGGGCAGGTAGGACAGTCTATCGTAGCCCTCAACTCGGACCGAGGGATATGATTGGATGAACTTTTTTGGTCCTACGCCTTCCACAGACGATATAAATGCATATAAATACATTTAGACCACTTAACTTAGTGATTGCTATTGGGATGTGAAAAGACTTTTAACCAGCATAACAAATAATGTTTTTGAACCAAACCACCTACCCTGCCTTTAACATTCAACTTAAATTAGATTAACAATACTACTTTGTTCTCGTAGTTTCAATGGGAAACAATATTTTAGAGAATAATGTTTGCAATGTATTACAGTTAGTTGTAGCATATATATATATATATATATATATATATATATTGTATATATAATTTTTATTATTATATTGTGCAGGTTTGTTTTGAATCAGTTTCTAAACCTCAATGTTTCTTTTGCTTCATGTTTAGGCTTGTTTATGCTAGTCACATTTTAAATCCTCTATCACTGTTTATCTAGGTCATCAAAGAAGGCATAAAGGACAGCATCTTGTATAGGAAGGAGATTCCATCTCGCTGCTCTGCCTCTCTTTCTCTCAGTGAAGTGCAAAACAAAAAACACCTGAAGAAGGTGTCCAAAGGACAAGCATACCAATAAGCAGGCGAAGTATGATGACAATCTAGCCACAGGAAGTTTACAGATGTCACACATCTCATCATGGAAACATTTGTTTGTTTGTTTTTTAACTGAAAAATAACTCCACAAACTGTGAAACCAGATGATCTGGTTTGGTCCCCAGAACATTCTCATGTAGCCTTTTATTAATAAAAAGAGAACTGGTGAGTGACACAATGAAAACAGCATTTAGTCTAATTGTTAACATTAGATTGTGCAGGTGTTTTAGTCATTCATGAACTTCTATCAAGATTTCTATTAAGATACATAATGTCTATTTAAGGTTCAGAGAGAGATTTACATCAAGTTAGTTCACCCAAAAAATAAACTTCTGTCATAATTTTCTCATATCATATACCTTATGCCGCTCTAAACATGTACATTTAATTTATCCTTCAGAAGATAAAAGATATTTAGAAAAACACTGGGGTCCAAACAACATTGACTTTCATAGTACAGACAAATAAAAACAATGAAACATTTTTCTAAATATATTCTTTTATGTTCCACAGAAGTCATACAGGTCTGAAACAACATGAGGGTGAGGAAATGATAACAGAATTTTCTTTTTTGGTTGAACTATCCCTTTCAGTGCAAAATGATCCTTTGATTATAATAATCCCAAGGATGTGACCAAAAGTTCCTTTAGGCTTTTGGTGTGTTTGTTTATGTTTCAATGGCAACTGCTAAAACAACATCATATGAGTCCTGATTTATGTTTTATGAACTGAGGGAGTGCCTCGACAAAAGAGCAACATCCTGAGGTACAAAACAAAACATGAAACCATGGCAATCCCGTCACTATCCTGCTTCAGTCGGTTGAACGGGTGTTTATTTTAAGTTTTTGCTTAGATGCAGATATAGTTTTTATTTCAAGCTGTGTCATTTCCCTTTCCCCTTAACTGAGAACGGGGAAGTATTGTCTGTTAGTATCTGAGTGAAAGGGAAAAGAAAAGAAAAGGAAGTGTTAGTTACTCCTCAAACCAACACTTCAATATCAGGACATTATGCACCTTTTTTGTTTTTGTTTTACACAGTACAATAAGATCACGAAGGTAGCACAAAAACACTGATTTTGTAATATTGACTCCACTATACCTGCTGCATCTGTGAACTTGATAGATAATATAAACTAATGAGGAATGGCTGTTTAAGATGCAAGTGTCATGCTCCATCTTAGTATAGAGTGTATTTGAACTTTTTGGGGATTATCTTGGAATTTATTGACAAGGTTATCTGTAGTTTGTACTTGCAGACTCACCTAGTATTCATTTAGTATTTATTCCTATAACCATGAATACATACGTTTGGTGATGGAATTATAAATCAGGCTTTAAAAATGTGATTGTTTGTAAATATGTGAACAATGATTTATTGTCCTTATATTACATCTCAATGTTACGTTAGTACGTGTTTTGAGACAACTTACCTTTGTAAAGGTTGATCTGATTTCAGTTGCCTTTTTATATATTAGAAAAACACCTGAATATTTTAGCAGATGCACTTATTCTCAGCACTGATCTACTTTAGTCTCATCTTTCACAATCACTTAAAATCATACTGATAGTTTCAAAACATACTAAGTAATATATTCCAATATGTACATATATTATGCAAAATATGTACCATAAATATCATAACGCTTTTTATAAGTGCCACTAACAATGTTATTTACCATATGTAGAAAATTTCAACAAGAAATTTTCTTTTAACTGTAGTTTTGACCGGACAGAGACCATTTACTGGCAGTACTGGTTAGGTTTTAACCTAGAAACTAGTCTATTAGTCTAATCATGGCACAAAAAAGTATAGTCATTCTCATTGCATAACTCTCATGGTTTCATTGTTAAGTAAGCATATGTTGTACAACTGAAACCACAGTATATCAATGCAACATCCATTTTCCCTTCTGGCCTTCCCAGAAAGCACTTCGAGCACACTGTTACAATGAAAACATTACAGATAGGCCAACAAGGGTTGGGTCTCTGTAGTCAGAGAACCAAATTAACCAAATTAATGATTGGGTGTCAGATAAACTCCATCTGAAAGGTTCCACCGACACACTGAAATGATCAAATAATATGGGAGAATTCATCATACACTCCACCACACTATCTGCATTCTCATCTTGGGTTGTATCATGAGCCGTTGAAAGAGCTGACATAAATCAATAGCCAGAGAGCAGATGACCAACTTTTACACCCTTATAGACATAGAAACGTGTAGATAAAATGAAGGTTGTTTATTTGGACATATGATGTTTTGAGGTTTCTCTTAAAGGGATAGTTCACCCAAAAATGGAAATTTTATGTTAATCTGCTTACCCCCAGGGCATCCAAGATGTAGGTGACTTTGTTTCTTCAGTAGAACACCAACGAAGATTTTTAACTCAAACCGTTGCAGTCTGTCAGTCATATAATGGAAATGAATGGGAATCACGGCTTTGAGAGTCAAAAAAACATACACAAACAAA